TCACGCCTGGATTATTGTAACAGTCTTTATTACGGTCTCCCTAAACAGAGATTAAAAATCTCCAGCGTGTACAGAACACTGCAGCGAGAATTGTCACCAGGACTAGGCGGCATGAGCATTACCCCTGTCCTGCGAAACTTGCACTGGCTACCTGTGCATCAGAGAGTTGAGTTCAAGGTATTACTTCTGACATATAAATGCCGACTGTACAACTCTCCGTCTACATAAAAAAACTGATATTATCAAAGCAAGAGAACTCTAAGATCCTCGTCACAGTGATTCCTTTCTCTACTGAGAGCACCTGCAACTATCACTTACAGGGATGCAGCATTTTCCATATCATCTCCTACTCTTTGGAACTGACTTCTGGCAATATACGTGATGCCATCAGTGTATAGACAGTTCAAATCAAGACTTAAAACCCATCTTTTTGTTTCCGTCTTTGGTGAAAACTAAATTCCCTTGTTTCTTTAGTCGTTTAGTGTATTTTATTTTTCTCTTATTCTCCCTCTCTCTCTTTTGATTACAAATGTGACTGCTCTGCCTCTAGGGGCTACTATTTATTTATTTCAACAATATTTTGTGAGGGTGGTCCATCCAGCCTGAGCTGATCAATTGGGACCCTCAGTACATACAATTAAAACATAAGTATAAAAATTAAACTTGATCTTTAACATAAGCAAATTAATTTAATTAAACCAGGAAAAAATTAATAATAATAATAATTTTTAAAAAACAGATATAGGCCTACAGTATATAAATCATATAAAATAATGATTTAAAGGAAAACATTAAAATAAAAAAAAATAAAAAAATTGACATATTGGACAGAAAAATAAGTGAAATAAAAAATAAATCAAAAAAATTAATGAGAAGATAATTAATTGAATTAACAAAAATAGAAAAATTATAAAAGATTATATTAATTTACAATTTAAAACAGAACAAAATCACAATTACAAATATTGCAACAAAAAGAGATGGCCACTTGGACAATCTTGGTCACTGTCCCCGAGTACCCATTCGTCTGTGGCAGGGCAAATGTGTAACCTGCTCCTTTGTTCGCACCATCTAGGTAGAGGTCTGGGATTGTGCCGGGGCAGTGATGGATGCTTGACCCTTTGAGACCTTGCGTTGTTTACCATCACACATTGAAATTTCACAATTCTTTGAATTATAAACTTTTTATTAATTCACAATTAATTGATAAAATAAATAATGATTAATTTGAAATTGTTAAGCGCATAGAGTTTTAGATATGCGCTCTATAAATATACAATAATAATATTAATAACACTTAGGCCAGCAAACGGGTCCTACAGTAGTGTCATATACTTGATCTCATTGCGCATTCATTTGAATCATAGAATTGACAATTTATCCTTCAATTACATTGTGGGAAGCAAGGAGGCCTTTTCCTGTTATAGTATTTAATGAAGAACAAAGTCAATTTTATCTGAAATATTTTTTCTCTCAACAATCAGAGATCGTGGTTGTTGTTATAGTCCGAGCATGTTGTTATAACTTGTTGAATTACATAATTCAATGTTCTCTGCTCTGTTTTGTTTATTACTTGCTATAACTTCTTTATGAACCAAACCAAGAAGAAAGTCATTTTTTATCTTAATGAGACCTTTTCAACTGACTTGTTGTTACAGCCTGGGCATGACATCACTGTTTGAATTGTGTATTCACTTGTGTTGCTTTGTTGTGTTCATTATTTTGAATTGCAAATTGCCAAGAGTTCATTATGAGCCAAAACATGAAGAAAGTCAAGTGTATCTTGAACATTGTTTATCTCAATCAGATCTTTTCAACCGACTGTGCTGTTGTCTCTACAGTCTGGGTATGACGTCACCTGTCGAATTACGTATGTGCCGATGTTGCTTGGGGGCACTGTCTATACTCTTCTTTTGTTTATCATTTTGTTGTAAATTGCCAAGAGTTCATCAAGAAACATGAAACTTGTTAGGCAAGACTTTTTTATAACTTGTTTCGCGAAACTTATTTTTTTAAAGATCGGCAGAGATGGGCAGAAAAAAAAATTAAATATAAGGTTTTTTTTTTTCTTATGGCAGTGGTTTTGTCAAAAACATTTAGATGGAGAAGAAATTGAAACTAAAATGTTATTGTTGAAACAGTGTAGTATTACTATTATAGTAATGGGATGGTTTAATGATTTAAACTTAAATAGAGACTTAAAGATAGGCTGGCATCTTAATGTGAGAAGTGATATGGTCTGCTGGCCTCTCGCAATAAATGATAACTTCTCTCCTTCAATCCCACAAACCATTACATTTTTTAACCTGAACTGTAGACAATGAATTATTAGATTAATAATAATTTTTGGAGATTTCAAGGCAGCGGCAGGCATAATAAAAATTAAGAAAAATGAAAATTCCAAATTTTATGGCGGCAGTATACTAATTGGCAAAAAGTAAAGTTTTATTTTAATTCGAAATCATCATTATTGCAAGCAAGGTATAAAAAAATTCCAAGATAACAACATGACAACGACATATCATCGCATTTTGTATATTTTTCAACACTGAGCGCATTTTTATCTTCTAGTTGTTGTACCGTTTTGTGTCTAGTGTAAATGTAGCTAAACTGTTCATATTGTTTTATTTTTTTGTCTTGGACAATATAGTGGTTATTAAATTAGATGGGAATCCACATTTTCTTTTCTTGATAAAATTGCTCCTTCCCCAGAATATTAGCATCCAAACTTTGTTGAGGCCTGGTTCTTGTTCTCTCTAATTAGTTGTATCCATTAGGTAACATCTCTCAAAAACAAATTGTTTCCAGATTTGACCCTGGAAAATTTGCTAAAAACAAATACTTAAGTTTGTTAAAAATCACCTCATTCTCTCAGTTAGTACCCACCCACTTTCCTTTGGCTCCTCTCACATCGTACCCTCCCATTGCACACTGTTATTACCAATCTTAGACACCACTGGTCGTATGTATCCCAAGCCTAATAGAATAATCTTCGTAGAGTGTCATCGCCTATTTGGGTTTCTAAATTACAAAAACTGCTGTAAATGCGTCAGTTGCTGGCCTCTTTGTACTGTAGATGATAAACTTGCTTTTACCGTTTATTTTTAACTGCTGTCAGCTGTATAACTCCCACAAGATTTAAAATGTTCAAATGAACTTTAAATAGCACAGATTTGTCATCATTAAGCTAATGGATATGTTTTTTCCTTAATATTTTTTTGTAAAATGTTTGAAATGAACTTCAACTATACAGTATTGCACAGATTTTTATTCTTTCTAGCTTCGAACAGTTTATTTTTATTTTTTAAATTTTTTGTCAATTTTTTTTAGTGAAGTTATATATTAGAATAGCCTTGATTGTTTATTACTCTCAGCCCAATGTTAGAACAGCCTTTAATTGATTGGGCTTATATATCATTTTTGTATATGTTGTAATAAAACTGAATTTAATATGTCATTCAGAATTCAATTTGAAGTACTGTATATCATCTAGTAATGTCCTCAGTACAGTATAATTTTATAATTTCATTGCAAGATAAATGCAGATTTCTTGTGATTTCTGAAAACCCTGTCAATGTGAATAAGTCTTCGACTATACAAGTGCGTCAGTCAGTTTATATGTGAATGATTGCCTAAGGCAATACCAGACATAGTTTTTCTATCAATTCAAGCCATTTCCTATTCCATGTACCGTATTCACAATTTTTGACCTGCACATCAGTTAAGTAAGTGCGTCAGTTGCTGTCAGCTGTACTCAAATTTTACCTTCCCACCAATTCTTCCTATCATAACTTTATCTCCTTGCACTATCTGACTTGTTCTGGCTACCTAAATTAATATTTTTTTTAAATGTAATTACACCTATTCATTAATATATACAAAACGGACAGTTACTCTGTAAAATGAACTCAACAATGAACAACAAAAACTTTAAAAAGAACATCTTTATTACACACTAAACATAAAAATGTTATTCAACTTAATAAATTGTTTAATAAATTCCAAAACATGGAAGAAGTATCAAAGTAAAAGACTGTTTAGAGACACCAAAAAAAAAAAAAAATACCATAAGCGAGGACGATTTAAAAGATAAAAGGTATGTAAAGATGCAATGATATTCAAAAAAAAAAAATCCCCTTGTGATGACATATTTGATTTGGGATCCTTCAAATAAAAAAAATGAAAACAGAACAAGGGACTACTATTTTAGTGTAAAGAAAAAAGATTTTAACATCTTAATTCATTGATTTCATCTTCACTTATAAAATTAAAACTTCACTTAAAAGAAAAAAAATACAAAACGTTAATCACACACATGCTTGTACATATTAATAGTCAGAGTGAAGCGGAACTTGAATGACAAAGAGCGAAACAAATTTTCATCACCTTGACCCGTAGATAACAAAAAGGAAACTGTTGTTTAGAATCATCAATAAATGTACAGAAAGAGGTTAAAATTATTCAACGATTACAAGATTATTAAATTTTATATATTAAAAAAATCACAACCTTCACCATGAATCTGCTCTAGCCCTTTATTTTGGATATTTCTGTTGGTCTAAACTGTAGTTTAGTGCTAAAAGATTGCCTTTTAATTTAATGGGGATTCCCTGTCTGTAAGCCCACCTACCACAATTGGCCTTATATTGTGTTCAATGATGATGGGCTTATGCCAGAAGAACTACAGTTAAAAACCTTTAACATACGACTTTGAGATCTACTATCGATTGATAGAAAAAGCTCATTTAATGTTGTAGACAAGTCTTTTAATGTTTTAAGTACAAGAAGTTCCTATTTTGATAAAAAAAACTTGTTTAATATTTTAGGGAAAGTTCCTACAATGAACTATTAGTACGAACTCATTTTGAGAACAAGCTCTTTTAATGTTTTGAGGTCAAGTTCCTTTAGTGCGCGTACTGTATGAGAGCATTTAAAATTCTTGAAAAAACAATTTGAGAATTCCATCATCATTTAAACTTTCAAAATTTGTGTCTTCACAGGTACACCCAGATAATCCACACTGGACATGTTTTGAACAAACAGCCAATTTAGAAGTGAAGTCATTCTTTGGGTTTGAAAATTCTGTAGAAAAAGTAGCAGTAAAACAATATGCAAATAACATTAAAAAGGTAGGTAAAACAGGTGTAATGTACTATTATGCACTACTGTACTGTCAATTTTTTTGACAAAAACATGTGAAATGCCTAAATATGGTCATGATGACATCACATGACCATATATAGGCACATGAATGAGCGCATGTAACATTTGGTTGTAAAAAAAAATTTGATAGTGTAGACAGAACTTAATTGAATCAAACAAACAAGAAGCATTGGGCTATTTCACATGACACAGCTTTGTAGCACACTACTATTTTAATCCCTTGATATAGTGAGTGAAAGTGCTTAAAATGTATTATCAATGTTGGGAGGTTGCATTTTGGTTTTCCAGCCTCAGTGTGTGGGGTTTGAACCATCGGTGAGCATTTTGCCTTGGGTAGGCAATTCCTCTACGATTATCTCTATCCAGGAGTATAATTTGGTACTGGTTAAAATATGGAGGTTAAAAAAATAATAATAATAATAAATCTTTATTTGTCCTCAAATTTGATACACATTGTGGAAATTTGGGCTGAGTCCCTGGGGACCCGCAACAGAGTGCAGTGCCAACGACTTAAACTACAACATACTAGATATGGTCCTTAATACGCCTAACTCTCCTGAAAGGGTTATTCGAGGAGCTGAGTTTTTTTAATTAAAGACCCGAATTCAATACTCGGCTGCAGAGCCGGATCTCAAACTCTGGTCATGACATTGAAGAGCCTGCCTGATACCAATCAGCCAAATGCTCAGGCTGTGTGGAAAGATCTGGACACCCTATCACACATTATATTGTACGATGGGCTGCTAACCGCTCATTCCTCTATGTTAATTAATTTATGCAGGACTACCTTTACCATTTTTACTTGAGGTATGCCATCCCAAAACCAGCGTCCATGGCCAAGAAAAAAAATATAATTTTTTTATTTGCATATTTTGCACATTGAAAAAATGTTAAGTTGATGGGTCATTTACTGGACTATTGCCCATGTTGCCTGTATTACGATTTTCTAGGTACTACACATATACAGTACTAACACATTCTAATGCTAATTACTCAGTTAACCATTTGCAACAGTACGCTGGTTTTAGGATGGCTTGCCTCATCACAAAGTGCAACCTCCTCCAATCCTGTGGGATTATCAACATTCTCATGTGTGATACAAACACTGAGGGAAGTGTTAGTATACCTTGCATGCTTTTAGAAATACATGAACATTTTGATTAAAATTACTCTGCCATTTTGAAAAAAGGGAGTTTTTGTGTCGTAAATCTGAGTTGTGCAAACTGAGTACACCCTACAGTTAAAAAATCATTGAAAAGAGTATAGCAGAATTACTAATTTTTAATATATTCATCCAAAAGATAATTGCAAATCTTGTAAATAATGTAAAACATTAAAATGAATGAGAGGGAAGAGAGAAGCCAAACAAATCTTTGTTAGCTTGTGATTATGATGTTATAACTGAGGATGATATGTTAAAACTTTTTAGTAAAAGGTAAGCATCTTGTGTATACCAAACTGCAAATTATTTCTCTATATTTCTTTACAATATAGGGTAAAGAAATCCTTACGTACTATATCAATGAAGTACTAGAGAAAAGCGATGGCCCCATACCAACGTGGTCAGAATTACACCCTAACGAAGATCCACGTACAGTGTGTACAGATGTGAATGGAGTGTGTCCATCAACAGCTGAGTCTGTCCCCTCAACATCCAATCAGGAAGCATCACTGATTTCACCCTCCACAGAAACCATCAGCTCACAGACTAGGACACGGCTTGCATCATCTGTCAAGGAGAACGGTGGCGCTGTTGGTGGTTATGATGATGATGGAGGTAAGTTGGTAATCTGTTGGATATTGTTGTGATTGGAATACTTTAATCCTTGTAAAATGTATACAAGTTATTTTAAATTGACTCGACTAAGTGCCCCATTGAATAAAAGCCCCTGTGCATTTATTTTTTCCTCAAATAAATGCTCCCCTCCACCCCAGATAATTATAAACAATTCTAATCGAAACAAGATCATTCTCAATACATTCTATTAATGTTCTGCTGCAAGTAGAATTACATTTTTTCTAACCTGTTCGGGATCAATAAATCTTCATGGTCACGCAGTAACTACATTTTGACGGTAATTATATGATGTGGTTCCACATTTACAGTGAAATTAAGGGATATAATTTGAGTATATAACTTTCCATTATACACCAAAAAGGATAAATACCTTCCTCAAATAGACGCCCCCTCAAAAACCCTTCAAGTGAATGGTAACTGATTTAAAGGTATTGCATGAGTTATCAAATTCTAATGAAAAAAAGTGAATTTTTTTTTATGTCTATAGACATTTTACTACAAAATTTCATTTTCATCTATAGTATTCAAAAAATTATCTATTTATTACATGTTTATTTATTCATCACAGCTTGTGTTGAGAGGAACATTAATTTTTCATTTCAATTGTGGAATTGACAGAAAAACCCAAAGATTTTTTCCCTTCCAAGTATTTTTATCGCAATACTGAAAATATATTTTAATACTAAAATGACATGAGCTGTACTAGTTTGACGTAATCAATGAAACATGATGGATTTTAGAAATTTAAAGATTATTTTTATTTATATAGCTAGCTTTCACTCTTCACATGAAAGAGCACTGTGTGCTCAAAAGCTAGTGTCATGTTCAATAGTTCTTAAAGTACTACAGTGCTGTATTCTTTATCTGTATGATATTATACAATTTGCCGTGTCCTACTTTACTCTGAGAGTCTCTCCATCTAGTAAATTGCTCCGTGTTGTCTCTAAAAACATAAGCCTTGTCTTAAGTAAACTTGTCAAGGGACAAGACATAGACTTCTCGTAGTCTCTTAGACTTCTTTCCACTATATTTAAAAATTAGGCTCCCATCCCAGCGAGAGCATGTGTCTACTGCCTAATTTTATAGAAATGATGACGTGGAAAATGATTAATGATTTAATGGTTTAACATCATGAGAGTAAGGGGGTAGAGGGGATGTGTTGATATTATACTGTCATGCATATTTGCCTATTCATTGTATACACTAAAGTACACCATTGTATTCCTGTTAACCCTCTGGATACCAGATTCTTTTGTAATGCAAACCCTTGAATACCGGATTCTTTTGCAGTGTAACAAGGTTTTTTGCGTTTTTTTAGTATACGTCGTTCTGATGGATTTTTGGGAACTTTCTGTAAATTATACAGAAAAATGTTTCAAAAACAAAGAAAGCTTTAAGAATAAGCTTTCATTTGATGTTTAATTTATATTTTTAGGATTTTTTTTTCATAATATAATATATATAATATAATAGAAATGAGAGAAAAATGCTACATATAAATCATCAGTAAAAACCAAAAAAAAAAAAAATTATAGCCAAAAAAAACTAAAAACAAATATAAAAAATTCCTATTCCACACAGTTATATAATTTATTTACCCAACCATCCATAACTATAAGCACGATCTTTCCATTCAAAAGCGTCGACCCCCCTCACATATCTAGGCCAAGGCTCATTTTCATCAAGAACATCTCCGCCGTCAGAACTTCTAGAAGCCCCACCGTCATCATCGGTAACAGGCACGTCTAAGTCTCGCACATCTAAAAACTCACCTTCATCGCTGTCTGAATCAAAAATCAGGTCAATCGCTTCCTCAGCTGTGTACACATCTTGTGCGGCCATTTCCAAAAATTTTTGAAATTAATAACGATTTCAAATTGATATTTCTAAAAATTTTTATATAAGCGCATGTGAGTTCTTCACAGATTTCGAAAGAAAAAAGCTTCACGCATGTGTGTTCAAAATTTCTGACGTATTGGAGCTAAAATAAAAACACGAGCGATTTGAAAACCACCTATTTTTTAGTCACTAAATTTCGACTACAGTCGAAAATGGGAATTCTCGGTTTGAGGTCAATTTCGACTACAGTCGTAGACGGTATCTAGAGGGTTAATATACATTACAGTGACAGTGATATCCTTATCCTGTTACCAGGACAACTACAGTATTCCTGTTACTAACCACACATAAGATCCACCTACACATGACCTCAACCGGATTTAATAAGGTCAACTGTTGCGAGACAACATAGTGTCTACTGCTCCCTGAGGGGCAGTAGACACAAAAATGAAAAACCGACTTCTTTGCTACCTTACCTCACCTTACCACATGGATTCTATTCACCTTTAAACTCTAAACGTTTCCCATGTTTATAATTTTAGAAATTATGCAAGTCATTAAACAACTGCCTTTAGCGCAAGTTGAGAAAAAGATCTGACAAACCTTGAAAATGTCCAGATAAATCCTTACCTTTTTTAAAAATTATAATTAAATTATAATAATACATTTTTTCTTAATGTAAATATTATAGAAGGAATGTATCATTGCTAATGATAGCGGCTTTGAGTGCTCCTATATCTTCCCCAGAAACTACTATTTAACAATCTGAAGGAGATATATAATATTGTTTGTTTTCTTTAATAAATACTTATCAGAAGACCCTCCCTTACAGCAGTACAGTACTTGAAATATTGCTAAGTCATGATAGTCATTTATCAATGGTTTTCTGTCCATTGTAGGATGCTCATGTAACCACCACGACTTCCTTTAAATCTTCATTGATGGTTCTCTACATTTTAGTGGCAGTGACTTACATCTCAGTGGGTTCATTGACTTTAAATACTGTTCAGTGCCTTGAAAATTTTTCATGTTTCAAACTTTTTACAAAAAAATGGAATCGCATACACTTTCAAAACATACACAATTATTAAAAATGTTGGTTTCACATATCATGTCGTTTTAAGAGATTTTTGTTGAAATAATAAACTTTCTGTGTATGATGCAAAGAAGGAATATATTTAAAAAACTGGGGGGGGGTGGGGAAGGTAGAATAAAAGATCAGTTATTCAGTTATTCCCTTTTTTCCCAGTTCTTAAATATTCCAAAATATGTATCATTGTATCATTAACCATTCCCAAGTTTTTCGCTATTCTTGGCACATTACAGTTTTTTTCAGAACTAAATTAGCAACACAAAATTAAGATAGCCCTTTACATCAGTTCGGAAACCCATGAAGAACAATTCATCACCAAAATGTATAAACCTGTTGCAACCTAATTGAATATCGATTATTATGTGTGTAGTCATAATTGAAATAATATTTCAGACATATTGTAATATGGAGACATATTATGTCTACATTGAAAATATATGCTTTGCTGCATTTACATATCTTCAGCATTAATAATTCATATTATGTTCTGCATTACAGCAAGATAGTTCAGAGTTTTAATATCATTTAATATGAGCATTCAGATGTAGAACTCATGAGGAATACATACAGTAGGACTTCCAAATTGCTTGCTGTTAAAGTAGATTCCCCCAAGCTCCACAGCCACATAATATACTCTTTTAGTTGTAAACACATCATTCCAAGTCAGGTGTTGACCTGATTAGGTCAACTACTGGTAAAATTAATCATCCAGATATTTCCTCTTTTTTATGGAAAATTAATGTACAGTAGAAAAAAATATCCAAATTTAAATAATTTTTTTCTAAATTCTATTGTCAGTTTTTCCAGAATCACAAAAACCCCCAATATTAATAACATGTAGCTAATAAAGATAAAGTAATGATTAAATTATGAACGTTTCAAATCCATTCCCTCGTCCATGGTGTCCATCAAAGGTTTTTCTTCATGTTAGTAGGTGATATAGGATGTTAAATTCTTCAGTTGAATAATTTTATATGAAAGACATTTTCTCATACTGTTATAATTTGATGAGGGTAATTGCTCATTATTGTGCCTCATTATCTTTTGACATTGAAATTCATACTGCATGCTTTGCAGTGATGAATTGCCTATGGTGGCCATCACAAATAATTGCTTAATCAAGTACACCATTTGGTACATTTTATCATACATGTCACAATCTTTTTGCTTACTAATAATATTCATTCAAAGTGGCATCTGTTTGTCATACTGTATCCCTGGCCCTTGTGCCTAAAGTTGAATAATACTAATAAACTTTCCTTTATAATCTGTCTCTACTTTTACAGATCATGTCTGTTAATTTCGCTAATTTTATTGATCATTTCCTTTTATCTCCTTGATATACTGTTAGTAGAAAATTGTATTGGATTATTTTCTTAATTATTTTACAGTATCGTTCATTTCTTTCAATTAACTATTCATTGAGTTATTCTTCATTCATTCATTCATCCAATTGTTTGTTCGTTCATTCATTCGTTCGTTCAGTTATTCTTTGTGCCTTTAATTATTCTTCATTCATTTATTTATTCTTCATTCGTTTGGTCGTTCATTTATTTTTCATTCATTTAACTGGTGTGGCCCATTTATTGAAAATTTATTGGTCTGCCATGAGTTCAGTATTTTCCAATCTACTACAATACATTCTTCTATGTACAGACAGTATAGTAAACGTGTAGTATTTGGTCATCTTGTATCTGTAGGCTATGACACACAATAATGTACGACTATCTCCACTTTGAGTATATGTCAGTCATGCTATATGAATTATGCTCACAGATTTATTCGCTATTCTGCTAGATATCCAATTAGCGCCTGGGTTTACAAAAAGCAATGGCACAACAATAAAGTGCCATTATATAGGAATATGTTCATTGTTCAATGTTCAATGTTTATTTCCACAATTCAGTAACATTATACAAGATTTAGTAAATTATGAATAGCCATGTATATTTTTTAAGCTAAAACTTATTCAATACTTGAATTACATTATTTACATTTAAATAAGTTATTTTGAGTATAAAACTAGAATGAGAGATTGTTACCCTGACCTATAAATACTATTCATGCATTCTTAAGTTATGAATATTACTACTAGCAAATTCACTCAATTCTAAGTAATATTCAGTAGTGAGACAAGATGGTGATAGTCCCAATGAAATTTATTTACCGTAATACAACAGTATGATTTGATTGAAGACAGGTGATAGGGTAATTAATAGAAAGGCCCGATTGGGCAGTTGATGGAACGGGATTGATAGGTAGTACAAATGGTTCTAATTAACTTGTACTTTATGACTAAAAGAAAAAGAATTGAAAATTTTAAAAAAAATATATTTTTAAGTAAAATAAATAAAAATTAAAACAAAACAAAATGTTAAAAAATTTAATTTATATGTTTTTAAAATTAATTTTTCATATTTGTGCAATATAGGTTTTATTTGTTTTGATTGACTTTCTATGTTGTATTTATTCAGATTTTTTTGTTTCAGCAGTAATACCATTTTTTAATTCTTTAATGTTTTTTTGACATACAAAAATAATCTGAACATTAGCCTTGTCTTTATATTTTATTTTGTAATTTATAAAAATAAATTAACAATGATTCGTTGTTTCATTTCTTTAGCCGTGTCCAAAGTTGATGAAGAGTACATTGCCCGATTTCTTGGTAACCTGACCCCCTTGCAAGAGAGTAAATTAATTGAACTTCGAGAATGGCTGAGCGACACACATAAGGAGAAAGAAAAGGTAATTTGTGCATTAAAAAATATTCTTATTGTCTGTACCAAATATTTGGCTAAAAAATGACATCATGCTGCCCATATATGGGCATTTGATAGTGTGGACAGAGCTTTAAGTTAATATAAAAAAAAAATAACAATAAGAATGTAGATGTGGTTACAGTAGATGCCTCAGCACAAACAATTGAAGACAGCAAACCCAGGATATTTACTTAGAAGCAGGCATAAAAGGATGAATAATAATATATCACATTAATTTGTCACGTGAAATTTAATAGTGTGAATGTTTAATATAAATCACAGAAGGCCAGCATCTGAATTAACAACATTTAATACAAAATTTTATTAAATGTGGTATCATCAGGCCTAATTTTGAATAAGTAACCATGGAATCAATTTTTATACAGTAAATTTTATCTGGGCTAGGTTCAATAAATATTTGCTTTTTTTTCACATTTTTGTAGCACTATCCTTCGATCTTTTTACCCACATTTCCTCCGGACCTGATTTTCTTCCTCATGAATCTATTTTTAGATTTGTTTGACATCTAAATGGTTGTGTTATTAGTATTACGTCAAACTAAATTGGGGATTTGTCAGCTTGTCTATAGGAGTATTGCTAACCTGCACAGACTTCCCATAAACCTCTGCCTACATCATTCAAATCACTTATAATGATGATTTACAGAGCAACCCAAAACAGTTTAAAAAATATATAAATTTGTATTTATGATCATTTTTTTGCCAACATCATCATTGGGTTTGAACTAGAGTACAGGTCTCCCTTTTTAGCATCTTTGGTCTCTAAGTAGAATAATAAAGATAAAAACATTTATGAATTTGGGGCCACAGAAAAGAGGTGACCTTTAATTAGGGGTGGTCTTTAATTGGAGGGGTCTTTAATGGTTCTAATTAACTTGTACTTTATGACTAAAAGAAAAAGAATTGAAAATTTAAAAAAAAATATATTTTTAAGTAAAATAAATAAAAATTAAAACAAAACAAAATGTTAAAAAATTTAATTTATATGTTTTTAAAATTAATTTTTCATATTTGTGCAATATAGGTTTTATTTGTTTTGATTGACTTTCTATGTTGTTTCAGCAGTAATACCATTTTTTAATTCTTTAATGTTTTTTTGACATACAAAAATAATCTGAACATTAGCCTTGTCTTTATATTTTATTTTGTAATTTATAAAAATAAATTAACAATGATTCGTTGTTTCATTTCTTTAGCCGTGTCCAAAGTTGATGAAGAGTACATTGCCCGATTTCTTGGTAACTTGACCCCCTTGCAAGAGAGTAAATTAATTGAACTTCGAGAATGGCTGAGCGACACACATAAGGAGAAAGAAAAGGTAATTTGTGCATTAAAAAATATTCTTATTGTTTGTACCAAATATTTGACTAAAAAATGACATCATGCTGCCCATATATGGGCATTTTTTAAACCTCTTGCAAACCTTGCAATGCTCCTGCAAGCCTCCACCTACATAAACCAAACCACTTGATAAATGATTATATGATGCAATATAGGTTTGCAGGATTTGTGTGTATAACTGTAGTATTACCAAAAGTGGTAATAAATGTTATTTAATTTTGACATCCTTAGAGTAGGATCACTTGAAAAAATTAATTACTTTTTTCCAATGCGTCATCATGGTAATATGAATGTATAGAACAGAAGCAAGGCATGAGGCTTTTAATGAAAATAATCACAGGTTTGAGTTTGAGACTGATGTTCTAATTTAAGGCATTTTTTCAGTGTTTGTCTCCTCATCTTTATTCATGAGAGTTGCATCACTCCAGGATTCATAATGTTGCACCATGACAACATGTCCAGTGCAGGAAACACAATATCCACTACCATGCTAAAATTTATTGTACAGTACTACTAAAAATTTATAATACATGTTTCTTTAGTGGTGATTTTTGCCAGACCTACTGTAAAGCCTCTTGAATAGGAGGATGTAACCAAGGATACTGACTATGTATTCCAATTTTTTATGATGCTGGGAAAAAAATATTGATGCTTGGAAAAAATGCATGTATGCTAGCAGAGTTGTATTTGGAGTGATAAAAGTATAAAGTGTTTATGTGGTAGGGTCAAATTGCAATGCACTGTACTATGGCAGAAGCCATTACATGGGCTTTTCACAGTACATACGCTGTCTATTGCGAAAGCCCTGGCAGAAACCCTTGTATTATACTCTAGAATATAAACCGAGATTGTGATGTAGAACAATCCTTGTACTTTTGAAAGCTGTATTTTTTATGTTTTTTTAGTGACTGTACAGTTTTCATCTCTGGTGGGTTAGTGTGAAACTAAATCATTAATAAAAAAAAAAAGTGGTGTGGCTGAGGTGGTCTGGACCATTTTATCCTTAAAATTCTTTCCCTGGGCCCCCTCTAATTCAAATTTCTGGATCTGCAACTGATAAAGCTAAACTGTAATTATGTTTGTTTGCATTGGTCTGATCAAGTAATTAAATTATATTTTCACAGGATCACTAATTAATAATCAATATTAATTTTTGCAGTCTAATAGTATATCTTGTCAGTTATGCAAATTGGTGTTTAATGTTGAAATTCATACCAAATTAATATTCCAATACAAATGAATGAACATGAAAAGCTACCCACATCTGAATCAATAACAATACTATAAATATTATCTATTACTTTTAATAATAGAATAGTGAGACCTCTGCTACAATAAAATCGGTTTGTAGCATAAATTTCCATTAATCAATTTTGTTTACATTTTTAGAATACCTGGTAAATTAATGACAGTAGAGCTGTCATTTAATCACCTAATCGATCAGTCAGTCAATCAGTAATTGGTCAAATGATGACACCTTATATAATCCATTATTATTCATAAAATAATTAGACCAGTAATGTTTACAAATGTTCCCCTTACTAAGGTAATTAATATAATTTTTGATAGGGTTTACAATAAGAAATTGATATCTACATGTACTAATCTTAAGAAATATATGTTAAGGAAACTACTTAATTCTATAAACAAACTGACAGCGTGTCAATGGGCTCACCCATTGGACCAGTAGCCAATATGACTGAACTAGAAGATTCCGTTGTTCCTAAATTTATAGAATCAGGTATTATTAAGTTTTATACTCGTTATGTTGACAACACACTAGTGCTAAACCTAATGATTTTCATCACATCCTACGTCACTTTTCGCTTTTCATAAACAGATTAATTTTACCTTTGAATCATTTGAAAACAGTAATTTAGTACATTTTCTGGATTTACAATTTGACAACATCGTAGGAAGCATGAGTGTATATTGTAAAAATACACATACAGGTCAATATATCCATTATGATAGCTTTGCCCCATGGAGCCATAAGATTTCTTGGATTCGTAGTTTAGTTTAAGAGCCCACAAATTGTATGCTCCCGATAATCTTCAAGCAGAACTTTGTAACATTAGAAAATTTATGTCATGGAATGGCTACCCATTAAAAGTTGTTAACCATGTACTCACTAAATTAAATAATTTTCTAAATGTATACATAGACCTAGTGATGATAGCTTGATTAAGATCTGGGAAAGGCAGGTGAATCTATTTTACGTAGATGCTTAAAGCCCCATTCCCGGCAAAATTTCAGTTTTTAAGAAAAATCTAATTTTTGTATAATGTTATAAAGATTTATAAATATAATACGGAATTGCTAGTTTAACTGAATTTAGACATTCCTAAGAATGAAAAAAATGTAAAATAAGACTGAAATTTGATTTTTTTTTGTGTTCCGCACAAAAAATAAATGCGGATGAATTTTTCATGTTTGATTATGCGATAGGTCGTGAGAAGAAATATCGTAGGCGCCGAAAACATTAGCCTATCCAACGCTACTAGGCCTAGCCTTACCTTGATTTAGGTTCTGTTATCACACATGAAAATGGCCGACATGATATTTTCCGTTGCTAGTATTGACACTTGTGAAATACAATATTTCATAGGAATTATTTCAAATTTGTTAAAAAACTGATTCTGACTGAGATTTTGACACTTAAACAAACATATCTCAGCCTAACCGAACGACCGAATTGTGCGAGATGCGAAGTACAAAAACTAATCTCTTTAGAGAGGGCGCACTTTATTGACTGTATAAAGTATACATAAAAGCGAGAGTATTCCAGTGGATGCGATCTATAACCTCTGAATTTGCCTAATAACGATGAATTCGTCAAAAAAATGGTAATATTTTATGAGAAATAGTCTGTATTTCTCATTTTTTTTATTCTTTTAAGTCAAACTAAAATTCATGCCAATATTTTTCCATGATTTATAATAATTGGAGTAATGCAAATGCATATTTTCTAAAAAAAGTCAGTTTTTTGTGAAATTTTGCCGGGAATGGGGCTTTAAACAAGGTAAAGAAACAATTAAAAAATGTCTCTCATTTTATATCTACTAAATATCAAACCCCTATTGGAATATAGGAGCTCTGTTGTTTATCATGCCCAGGTTGTAATAGTGACTATATTGGAAAGACAGATAGATGTTTAATAACAGACTTAAAGAAAATTCTTCAAGATCTCATAGTGTTATAAATGACCATATACAAAATTGTGAGGCATTCCAATATGTTTTAGGTTTACAAGGTATACTTGAAAATGATAATGTATCCAGTGTAAGTAATAAATTAGATTTAATATTTTCTAATACTAACAATATTTACAGTTTGCAAAATTGGTCTATACTATTGTTTGAAGAAGCATTTCCTATACGTAGGCTATACCCATTGCAACAATGTGCTGAAAGCTTCAAAGGAGCTTTCTTTGTTTTTGTACGTAACTTTGATCAGTAGGGTATGGATGCTTTGATCTTTAGTTTATTCATAGTAAATTAATAGTTTATTCATGTATATTATTTCGTTCTTTCCGTATGGGTTTTTATTGTGTTACGCTCTGGTCTATGTATAGGCTTTCATCTATGAACACACTGAAAGTATGTTATAACAATATTTTAAGAAAACTGTTACGCCAACCGAGATACTGTAGTGCTAATGCATTATTTGTTAATAATAATTTATCATCTTTCCAAGAATTTATGAGAAAATCAATCTTTAGCTTTTTAAAGCGATCTTTTACTTGTGTGAACCCTTTAGTTCGTTCTGTAAATGGATTCTTTGAAAGTTCTAGGCTCTCAAAAAGATGGAACGAACTTCTTTATGTTAATCAGTAATTACAATGTAGAATTTCAAAACATCAAAGCCAGAAAAGCAGACAGTAGGCCTATTCTTACAACTGCTTTGAATTTAAGTACAGTAAATTCATCTCTGATGGTAATAACAATGCAGTTTTTGATGCATACAAAACCAGTAAGCCTGCTCACAATGCCACAAATTGAGAAACAGATATTAAACACATTGTAGATTTTTTTTTCCCGTAGCAAAACTAATTAAGTTTTTGAAAAAATGAGAAGAGAAAAAAACTACATTTATAATTAGTCGCAGTACTATTTTCTATTCATAAAAAATTTCTTTGTGTGTTGTCACAAAATTAATTTGATTCAATATGCAGTAATTATATGATGCTTATATATTTTACTGTTTGTAAAAGATCCTAAACTGTAGATTTTTTCAATACAGTTCGTGGTACTTGCAAGAAATGTACAGTACTAACATAATCTATTAATATGTACACATTTATTTTTTGTCTGCGTAATTTTGTAAATCTTAGATTATATAATTATATGTCAATACATATTTCAGTTTTAATATGTTTATCTCCAGTATTCTAACTCGTTAGCTAGGTGAGGTAGGGTGTAAATGGCAAAGGTTCTCAGAACCTTGGGCACTTTTTGCTTTGGATTGACAATGCCTAGGCCCCTTGACACCAGTCCTTGCAATCTAACATATTGACCACTAGTTTGTTTATGCAGAATTTCTTTACTGTTGCCAGTACAAATGCTTTTCCATCACTGCTTTCATATCACTGATAATGATGTATCATGCTTACTATATCACACCTTATAAACATATCTTAGAGCACTGTGATAATTCATTAATTGCCTTTTGGTGTCAATGTAGTTATTGTAGTCCTGTAGGTCTAGCCTATAGTTTTCTGTTAATTTTGTTTTTGTAATTTAGTGTAGTTTAAGATCATACCCTGGACCTCAAGAAAGAACAGTGTACTAATACTGACAGGGTATCCAGAATCAGTGTTGGCAGTACTAAGTGCTATAGGAGCTGTGATGACATTTATCCATGTAGATGCAAATGAAATAGTTTTGCACTGGTTTCAATGTGGACATAGATTTTGGTGTAATATCTGCAACTTGAATGCCATTGGCTTTCATTGTGACAAATACAGAGACATTGAATGATACGTTTAGATGAACTGTACTTGTTTATTCTGTATTATCACTGTACCTACCAGCTATGGAATACACTTCTAGTAACATTTGGGAGTCTCTTCTTAAGACCTACTTTTTCCAAACCATATAATTATTACCCATTTGTTTTTGTTTTTTTTAAATTAATCATAATTTAAATTAGATTAGTCTAGATGTAGTGTCTATCGTCAGTGGTTGCAGATGTCAGTAAAATTGTCACTGGTGTTGCGGTTCCCATTGTTATTTGTGGGTTGGAAGAGAGTAGGCTGGGGCGTAAGCTGCTTATTTGTTGTAGTCTTTATTGTTTTATTTTGTCACATCACAGTGACAGTTGGAGACCATATTGATTACAATACTTTACAAGGTCAAGTTTACAGAAATTATTCTGCCCAATTGACTTTCTTGGCATTCCATAGAATTGTCTTGTCAGTATTTATACTGCATACAGTGGAAAAAATTAAGATTGTTTGCAATACAAATACTTTGTGAAATAATCAGGGTATGATATAAATAGCATTTGTTATTGAAGTTCTGAGGGAAATGTAATTTACAGTAATTAGCTATATTGTACTGTATCTCATAAGTTATAAAATACGATAGCAGAAGCAGATACAAAAGACATGTGATTTAAATTTGTTGAAAACATGGAAAGTTCTGCAAGGCTATAATAAATAATAATAATAATAATAATAAACAATTTACATTGCATTAAAATAAATCAACAGGTCCAAATTAGTTAGGTATGACGATACATTTCGTCATTAATTTATAAATTGGCCACATTCAGAAAAATAAATCATTCATCTAACCAAGATAATATTTAGTTCAAATTATGTTTTACTGTAACACTTAAATCTTAAAATATCTTCCTCTTGTTCTACCTAAAGCGTTCACTCCAGGATACTTGCCAGAGGCCTTGAGTCCCTTGCTGGACATACCCATGATTTTTGAAACCACCACTGCAGGCAACTATTTATCAATTTGTGTTTGTCTGTCTGTTGGAATTAGTATTTCAACACAGGATGCATAATATTGCACCATTGAAAGGCTGAGTAATTGTTAGAAAAGCCTAAATGTTTGGTTATGGTTCGGTGTTAAATTGGTATTTGTGTCTTAACTACAAACAGTAATCTAAGAACGGTTGATCGTTAACACTGTTGGAGTTTTCATGCTAACAGAACCTTTAGATTTTCATTTGCCACCTGTACTATCCAACAAGGCTTTGGTATATGTCAATTTCAGCATAGACTCCTATCAAATCATCACTTAAAAGTGATGTTTTTTTTTCAGAAAACTGTAGTTAAACTGGAATACTCAAGACAAATTGATTAATTTCAAATTGCAGCAACCTTCAAAACGGCTGTGTTACCGTTTCCAGTAGCTGGTTTAATTATTCTTATGTTCGACTTTAGTTAGAGTATATTGTGCAATACCAATTACAGACACAGATGCTAATCAAAATGGCCTCTTACCAATGTACTCTTTCGCAATTCATATGTATTCATAACATTTCTATGTTTAAACATCTAAATTGTAAATGTTCTGTTTTGTTATATCTAGATGCCTCATGATGCGCACTTACTGCGTTTCCTTCGAGCCCGTGATTTCAACACTGAGAAGGCGCATGAGATGATCACCGCGTCACTGTCGTGGCGTAAACAACACAAAGTAGACAAAATACTTGGCACATGGGAACCGCCTGAACTACTGACAAACTACTGGCCAGGTGGCTGGCATTACAATGATACAGGTGAGTGATAAACAAATGAGGGACAAATTTGAATGAAATAAAGATATAATTAAAAGCCAGAGGATTTATTTGGGCCATAGTAAGGAGGTTTCAATTGAAGGGTAGTCCTATATTGTAACTAGATAAAGAGAAGAAATATGTTCTACAGGGAACCTATGCATGTGGGTAGTAAACCAGTTTATATCTTTTAGATCTAATGGTTGATTGTTGATTGATTGGTTAATTGATTAAATGATTGGTTGACTCTGTTGACTTAGATGGAGCTGCTGTTTGGTGGTTATGATTTACATTTCAATCTCATGGGCCTAAGTTTTAATCCTGCCCAGCTCTAGTCCCTAATAGTTGTAGTAGCTTTCATATTCTTGAACTATTATGTCATTTGTTTTTGCAGATGGCAGACCTGTGTATGTAATGAAACTAGGCCAGGTAGATGTCAAAGGCTTGATGAAAACAGTTGGAGAGGAAATGATACTACGACATGTATGATAAGCCGTTTTTTAATTTCTAATTATTTAGTTAATAATGTAAATAAAAAGTGACTTATATAGACCTTAATACAGTGGTCCCCAGGCACTTCTCGGTGGCCATGCCTGTATTTTGATTGGAGCAGACAAGCGATTGTAACAAACAACCTTAAATTTGTTTAATGCTTAAAAATAAGTGCCAGATGCTAGTTAAATGAGGTGAAAAAAATTGGGTTTAACTTTCTCCTCTTTTCAATAGTATAGTATTTTATTGACATTTCAGTTCAATGATTACTATAAAAAAAATATTGTTAATAGTAATACCAGATATACTAACACCACTTTGTTTTTAGTTTTTATTATATGAAAATACAGTATTCCATTTTTTTTTTATTTTGCATTTTGTATCAATAGATACTTTCAATCAATGAAGAAGGCATTAGGAGGACAGAAGAAGCTACTAGGAAAACAGGTCGACCAATAAGGTAAACTACTTATGAATATCATCTATATACTGTGAAACTATATTAGCAAACCCATCTAGTCCTACATTCATATATATATAAATGTTAATTTACTAATTCATTGCCATGGTCTCATCTCATATTTCATCTCATATTTCATCTTATCTCCATTTATCTCATAATATTGTATCAAATCAATTCGTACATCTAATTATTTTTTCTTATATTTCATACCATATCATCTCATTTATTATCTTATCTCATTACATCTTGTCATTTTTTATGTCTGCATTTAATATGATCTGATACTCATCAAATTTCATTTCATCTCATCTCATTGCATCTCTTTTAATCTCATTACATCTCATGTCATCTTTTATATCATTACATTTCATATCATCTGATATCTCATCAAATTTCATCTCATCTCATTTCATCTCATTACAACTCATGTCATCTTTTATGTCATTGCTTTTAATATCTTCTGATATCTCAAATTTCATCTTATCTCATTTCATCTCATGCCATCTTTTATATCATTGCATTTCTTATCAGATATCTCATCAAATTTTCTTTTGATGAGATATCTTCTCTTGATGCATTTCATCTTACAACAACTATAATTTAATTTAATTTCTTTATCATTATAATTTAAAGTAAGTTTAATCAAACCAATAATTGATTTATTGTGCCATCAGTGACTGGACATCAGTAGTGGACTTAGAAGGTCTAAGTATGAGACATCTATGGAGGCCTGGTATCAAAGCCCTCTTGCGTATCATAGAAGTGGTGGAAGCCAACTACCCGGAAACAATGGGAAAACTTCTCATTGTCCGAGCTCCTCGCGTCTTTCCCATTATATGGACATTGATTTCGCCATTTATAGACGAGAACACACGCCAGAAGTTTCTGATCTACGGCGGAAAGAATTACCTTGATCATGGCGGTCTGCCGGACCACGTTGAAGACCAATACATTCCCGATTTCCTCGGTGGTGACTGCTTTGTAAGTTTACAATTTATGAAATTCTTTTTAAATAATGTAATTGTGGGATTTTTTCTTAATTTGGTTAACACATAGAGATATAATGAATACTAGAGTGCTAACCGCAATATATTCAATGTTCGAAACACGCAGAACTGTGTGTGTGTACCATCCAAGATGGCTGCCATAGATTTAGCCAATCAAATTTTGCTAAGCACCATTGTTTGCAATTGTGCCCTCAATTTACTCAGAAAGTTCAGTCCAGCTAGTTACCCGTATGTTTGAAACTCGAGCATTGCGGTGTTTGGGTGTAATGTACACGATTTTAATTTTCATTCCTTGGTACTTTATTTTTGAATAAGATGCTCCACTTGGCCTCGTTTTGGCTACAATAGTTTAATAATTTGTTACTACCATTACTCATTATCATTAATGAAATAACAGTCAGTCAGAGGGCTTATTAATATGTATACTAAGCCTGAAGGTGGCGCTTTACTACGACGGCCATCTTGGATGGTACACATACATAACTCTGCATAGCTGCGCCATCTTGTCAGCACTCTAGTTGTTTAATAGCTCTATGGGTTAACATCAACTGCACATTTACTCCTGTTATAAATAAACACAAACCCTTTTAGAGAATTAATACAAAGGTGGGGTATCAATTCCTACACTCTTAAAATAAATATAAATAAATATATCCTAACTCCCAAAATAACTAGCTTCTTGGACACTCCTTGTTCTAGAAAGGACAAATACATTTCTAAGAGAGCTCCAAACTCGTATCCCTGTGGTCTAGAGTCAGGGGCGGCTCTAGGATAAAATTTATGGGCGGGGCCCCTAAGATGTC